GGATACAACCTAGATTACGATAGGTGGGTGAAACTTTGGAACAAGGATATGAAGTTCACAGCATGTGTTGGACTCCGAGAAAATATGGAAAAAATGATGTACCGATGGTACATCACCCCTGTGAAATTAGAAAAAATGTATAAGACCAGAAACAAAACATGCTGGAAATGCAAAACAAAAGAGGGTGATTTCCACCACATGTGGTGGACTTGTAAAGAAGTGAAAAGGTTTTGGGAACTTATTTATGATGAATTAAAAATTTTTTTGAAATATACTTTCCCCAAAAAACCCGAAGCCTTCCTCCTGGGAATGGTCGGAGAGAGAGAGATTTTTTATTGCGGCCATTGGCCCATATCGAAAACAATACATCAGAATTTATCCATAAACAATACAATTTAAACAGTTCCAAGTTAAAACACCCTTATAAAAACCGATTTTACTTTAGTTTAGTAAACACTATACACAATAAGCTCCCTCTATGTAAACCGCAATTCCGATCCATCAGATTTTGGGGGGTATACGTCTTAGTTCTGGCACTTATTGATGGTTCTTAAGTTTAGCTAAGCTGTCAGAAACATACAGTGATCCATTTCTCCTCTTTTGAAATAAAACATTAATCAGGTATCTAGCGACTGCAAGGGATCTACTTGTATCTTCGTCGTTTAATAAGTATATTATTTGGGCTTCCTGAGGACTGTCAGCAATTCTCGATAAATATGGGGCCAGAAACTTGGACCGTGAAGCCGAATGTAATGGACAACGGAAGATTATATGATATAACGATTCTATAGATCCGCTTTTACAGTCACAGAGGAGTGAGATCTGTCCGTTGGAGAGTCTGTTACCCAACACGTTTGATGGGAAAGCATTGAATCTAGCCATTATAAAGGCATACCTGTGCGTCACCACAGATAAGGTAGTTAAGTAAGATGGAAGTTTCGTTGGTGGTGTTAAGCCAAGGTTTATCGGCGAACAGGTGCCACCACCTGTCGCAATATTAAATTGTAAATCCATCTCCTCTAATTTGTGAGTTATAATTCTTTTGGCCGAAATTAAATTCAATTTTAATAGTTCAGATGGAGATAGTCCTAGGGACACAAGTTTCCCATGTATTATTTTTGCCCAGGGGCTAGGGAAGTCATCTCTCCAGAGGCACTGTATCAAGTGGAGATTTGGAAGTTTATGCCATAAAGCCAACCAATAACAGAGGATGCATTTCCATAATGTGGTTTCTAGAGATGTAACATTTAGTTCCAGTCGTATAGCAGTATTGCTTACACACCTGGGTAATTTTAACAACCTTCTTAAAAGCTGGTTTTGGATTACCTCCAAATGGGTTAGATTAGCAAAGGACCCCCATAATGGGACTGCATATGCTATTGTTGCAATCACCTTTGCCTTGAAAACTTTTAACACTGATGGAATATGGAAAGCCCCATCTGAAAAGAAAAAAACGCAATAGCGCATAGGAAAGGGCTTTAGCTCTGTTTAATACATATGCAACATGGACCTTCCAGCCCATGTTGTGTTGGAGAAAGACTCCCAAGTACTGAAATTTAAAGACTTGGTCAATAGCTTTTCCGTCTATTCTCCAATTATAGGTTTTTCGACTCTTGGTGAAAATTAGGACTTTGGACTTAACATGGTTAATTGTAAGAAAATTTGATTTGCAGTAAACATCGAAGATTTTTAATGCCCTCCTAAGGCCGACTCTTGAAAAGGATAGGATCACTGCGTCGTCTGCGTAGAGTAGAAGGGGGCAACGATATTGGGCAAGACGGGGGGCGTGGATCGTTTCTTGAGCCTCTATCAGAGGCGCCCTCATATCACTTATAAATAGATTAAAAAGGGTCGGAGCAAGGATACATCCTTGGCGAACACCTCTATTGATAACTACTGAGTTTGAGAGGTCGCCTGCCGGAGTGATTCTCACCCTAGCGGCCGATCCGTCATGCAATTTAGTTATTAGCCACAAAAGTCTTTTGTCTATTCCCCATCGGGCTAATTTTCCCCAAAGCAATCCTCTGGGGATGCTGTCAAAAGCGGCCTTTAAATCAATAAAGGCCGCACAAAGTTGGCCTCTATTTGGGGAGGAGTATTTCTGGGCAAGGTGGTATAAAATTAAGACCTGATCAACCGCTGACTGATTCGGTCTAAAACCAGCCTGTTCAGGCCCAATCAGGTTGTTCTCTTTGGCCCACTTAGTAAGCTTAGTTAACAAGAACCGTGCATATATTTTCCCAATTGATGACAATAAACTGATATTCCTGTAATTTCCCGGGTCATCTGTCGAGCCTTTTTTATGAATTGGAACAATAATTGCATCCTTCCAATGGTCGGAGAGGAGATCAAGAAAGAAGACCTAATAATGTTCCAATATGCAACGGTGGCCGCCAGGATATTGTTAGCGCAAAATTGGAAAACCCCTAACATCCCAACTGTTAGAGAATGGCAAATTAAATTATTCGAGCATATAGAATTAGCAAAATGACACAAAAAATCAGGCATCAAAAAAGTGTAAAATTTATTACCAATTGGAACAAATTCATAACATATATAGAAGCAAATTTAGGAAATATTAAAATCACAGTAGGTGTAACATAAAGCCTGCGATGTATAGATAGAGGTTGTAAAATGATACCGCAGAAAGGTATTGTGGCTACACAGCCCAAAACCGAGATGGAGGGAAGTCAATCAATGTTACGTTATGAATTGATGTTGGTTAGTTTTTCGTTTGTTTTTTCTTTTTATGTGTTGCTTTGTCATTTTTCTTTTTCTTTTTTTGTTGTTCGTTTGTATGTTATTGTTCTTTCACTTTGTATGTTTTTGTCTTAAAAAAGAACTTAATAAAAAGAATTAAAAAAAAAAAAAAGATTTAGTACCAACCCAGCAATATAAAACACAGTATTGAAAACAGTGCATGTTTTGGAGATTGCTATAAGGTTGCCATATTACAAAAAGTAAAAATCTGGGCAGAAAAGTTGAGATTTTTTTTGCAAAATCTTTTTTAAAAATTGAAGTTTTTGAGTTATTTTTAAGGAAATTTACATTAATTATCCTGGATACTGCATGGGCACTGCCAATTGAAGGGCTCTCAAAGAAGAGCTCCCTGTTCAAATGAGTCCTTAATATGAAGGCTCTCCAGTCCAAGCCCAGTTTAACTATAAAGATGATGAGATGTATTTCTATTTAACTCCACTATGATGAGATGTATTTCTATTTAAATTACAGTGGTACCCCGGGTTACAGACGCTTCAGGTTACAGACTCTGCTAACCCAGAAATAAGTACCTCAGGATGAGAAGAGAAATCGTGCTCCGGCGGTGCAGTGGCAGCAGCGGGAGGCTGCATTAGCTAAAGTGGTACCTCAGGTTAAGAACAGTTTCAGGTTAAGAACGGACCTCCAGAACAAATTAAATTCTTAACCTGAGGTACCACTGTATAATTATTATTTTGGTGTGAATATGTATAATTTTTATCTCTCTTTTTGGGGTGTGTGTATATGAAGCATTTCCTCTTCTTTGGCAATGCTTAATGCAAGATGCAGACCCATGACTTTCAGAAACAGGCCATGGGAAGGAAGCTGAACTCTGGAGAATTAGCAACTCACCCTAAAGTTGGAGAATTCTTAAGAAAAATAGCAAATATGAAATGCTAAAAACACCAAGTTTCAGGTTAATAAATGCCTTCCAAGGCAAGAAAGCAAAGTATTTCCACTTTTTTTTTTTTAGCTTGCGTGCAGGCAACAACAGACACAAAACAGCTGGGTAGAGGACATATTTACATCCTTCCAACAGCTGCCTCCCCTTACAGTTCCAAGAGCCAGCAGAAGCTGATACCTTCTGCCCAGTGAAGCCTATGAGACTCAAGGACAGAAAAATATGAGAGTAAGCTATCTTTAATATGTTTTAAACTGTTGCCAAGTTTTGCTGTGGAAACCACTTTGAGAACTTTTCTGTGAAAGTGGTAAATAAATAAATAAAATAAATAATAGCAGAAGGCAGAAATGGAGACAAAATAAGCAGTGATCCTTCAGGGACAGGTTCCTCCGCTTCATACTTATTTCACCTTTGTAATTCCTATGATGAGAATTCAAGAAATTCTAATTCTGTTCTGATCAACACACACATAGGATTTCATCCTCACCAGGGAGATGTGGAAGCGCAGGACTGCTTGCAAACCTTGCCATGCTGAAAGTTGCTCTGAAATTTGGAATTCTGAGGCCGAGAAGCTACAAAAGATGTCCATTCCCCCACCAGCCTCATTCCCCACAACGTACAACCAAGCCAGCGCTGGTCTAAAAGGTGTGTGATCGTTCATTCAGCCCCAGGCATTCGCCCAGCCTGACTCTCACGTTGTTTAATGATCTGAGGCCTAGTCACCAGCATTTCTTTCAACCTGAGAAATGGGGATTTATGCAGTTAACTTTTAGTCATATTAGGCCCACTGAAATTAAAGAATCTAAACTAGCCACAGGCATCCATTTACTCTCGAGTAAAAGTCAGTTGGAGACAACCCTGACACAGTGGTCATCATTTTACTTCACACTTATTAATGGTTGGGTTAGCCCACTGAAGTGCAGGAGGGTTCAGGCATGACCCAAGACCAGATTTCAGCTCAAAGGAACAAGACTGAGCAACGGGGCACTTGGCCCACTATATATACCTTCAGCAGGCCCAGGCAACGCACACCCCCTGCCTGCGATAGGTCGCCTGAATGCTGCACTTGGCGAATCACAACACTGGCCCCATCTCAGCAGGGATTGGCTGCCAGCAAGCTACTAACAATGTCATTGGAGGGGTTTAGAATCCCCTCTGTCCTTTGTTATGCAAATGAAGCTCCTGGAGGCCTAGGCCTGCATTGCATTGCGTGCATACAGTGTGGCTTCGGCCTACAGTCCTGCGTACATAACACCTACATTCTCCTTTGCCTGTCATTCAGTTTGATTGTGCAAATTCCTAAAGTTACTTCCTCAAACAGCGTTTGCTTTTGCTTCAACTTTCTGTTTTTCATGTGATGCATATTAGGAAAAGTAGCACTGATGGCTCGATGCTTTCACATTAGCTACTGAAATAAAGGCTCACTCTTGGTTAGTCACTGCCAGTTCATACCCCATAAGCATATAAGTGAAATTAAGTATATTTTTGCCCATTCACTCAGTTTGGAGCTCTTCACAATCCTTTTTTTTGTTTTGCTTTAATGACCCCAAACAATCCTCTATTTGAAGGTGCCTTCTAGTGGAGAGTTGTGAGTCCAAGTTTGTTTTGAAGATAAGGAGCCATAAAAAGGAAGAGGAGGAAGTTGCCCATCGGGGCTTAGCAGCACCTGGTCAGCAGAAAGATATCTTCCACACCGTGGTGAGATCTGCTGTAAAAGGTAAAAGGCACCTGGACAGTTAAGTCCTGTTGAATTCTACTATGGGGTGCAGCGCTCATCTCGCTTCAGGCTGAGCAAGCCGGTGTTTTTTCACAGACAGCTTTTCTGGGTCATGTGGCCAGCTTGACTAAACCGCTTCTGGTGCAATGACACTGTGACAGAGCGCATGGAAATGGTGCTTACCTTCCCGTCACAGCGGTACCTCTTTATCTACTTGCACTGGTATGCTTTCAAACTGCTAGGTTGGCAGGAACTGGGACAGAGCAACGGGAGCTCACCCCATCGTGTGGACTCAAACATCAGATCTGTTGTACAGTGGTACCTCAGGTTAAGTACTTAATTTGTTCCAGAGGTCCGTTCTTAACCTGAAACTGTTCTTAAGCTGAAGCACCACTTTAGCTAATGGGGCCTCCCGCTGCCGCCGCGCCGCCAGAGCATGATTTCTGTTCTCATCCTGAAGCAAAGTTCTTAACCTGAGGTAATATTTCTGGGTTAGCGGAGTCTGTAACCTGAAGCGTATGTAACCTGAGGTACCACTGTATCTCTATTTAAATTATAGTAATTATTTCTAAATTTCTGTCTGTACATATAAATTATTGTATGAAAAGTTTATGCATATTGCCGTCTTCTATTTGGTGGTGCAATGTAAAAATAGGCCACCCTAATTCTCAATGACCACAGCTTTATTTGATTACACCAAGTGGTAACAAATGCTGTTGGAAGACTGCTGAATATACAAGCACTCTCTTTTGCCCTTTCAACTTCAACCTTTAACATTCCCAGTATTTGTACAGAAAACAATTGGAAGAATATTAAGGGATTTAGATGTTAATATCATCCAAACATGCCCATATCATCTTATTGTGCCATTTAGAATGGCATAGAACAACTGCCCTACTGTGTCCTACTTAGCACAAAGAGAACAATTTATGTTTCCCTAGACACAGGCATAACCACTCGAGCTGGAAATTAGTATTTTAAGAGATCTGAACAGCCATGTTTTTAGATTAGCATTTGTGCATTTAAAATTAGAATTCAATCTCTGAACTTTGGAGGCCAGGTTTGCAAGAACATTGCAACCATAAAGCATAATAAAAGTATATAATAAATGTCAGTGGCTTCTGAGAATGCATTTAGAGCAGATTCTTTTGAAATCATTTAAAGAATGGTTTGTGGGGAATTATTTTTTCCAAGTTTCCTTGTAAAGTCTATATACAGCCATCCCAATACTTATCTTGCATCCGGGCATACTTAAGATTCCACCACCACCAGACTGGAGACAGAGCCAGCCTTCACAACCAATAACCAATAGGTAAATTCTCTTAGGGGGCAGACCAAGATTGGGCCTAACAATGTTCTCTTCTGATAGCCACCAAGTCCTTGAGGATATAAAGGCATTTGCAGCTTATTCCCCAAAGGAGTGGGGTTAACTGCAGGATATTTTCTCCAACGTTTTCTTCTGTTATCAGCCATACAGAGGTGGGGATTTACCCACAATGTTAATAAATTAATTAATTTTAACAGTATAAATTGAAGAGCACCACTAGTTTGAATAGATTTGATGAAAAACTATGTGTGTGCTAAAACAGATTTCTGCAATTGTTGTGCTTATTAAAAACAGAGAAAGAGGCAACAGCACCGGCCTTGACCCATAAGAATCGCATGTATCTCATAAATACACACATCTCTCTCTCTGTGTGTATCTGGATGCATATACTCTTTCTTGATCTGTCATTATAGTAGCCTTCATACAGTCTCTAGGTCCTCCCACTTTTAGGAAGTTGCCCTATTATGAGTCAATCCATTGGTCCATTTAGCTTCTTACTGTCTGCACTGACTGTCAGAAGCTCTCCAGCATGCCTGAGAGGTGTAATTTCTACCCTTGATATATTCAGGATGATTTACAATTCAAACATTATGTCACATTTGAACCCGAAGCCCTTGTGTGCATTCAGCTTGCGTCCTACCCTTTCCCAAGAATCTTTCCAATTCTCAGTACTGGCTGCATTCACATGGCAGTTTATTCCACTTTTACAACATTCCCCTAACTGT